GCATTTTTTGCAAAGGCAAGAGCAACATTTTTTAGTGCCATGAATCCCCAAGGTTCAGAGCAGGATGTTGAGTATTCAGTGGTGCAGCATGCAGATGGGGAAAAGTCAAATGTACTCCGCAAGCTGCTGAAGAGGGCGAACTCATATGAAGATGCCATGATGCCTTTTCCAGGAGCAACCATAATTTCCCAGCTGTTGAAAAATAACATGAACAAAAATGGTGGCACAGAGCCCAGTTTCCAAGCCAGCGGTCTCTCTAGTACAGGCTCAGAAGTACATCAGGAGGATGTATGCAGCAACTCTTCAAGAGACAGCCCCCAAGAGTGTCTTTCCCCTTTTGGCAGGCCTGCTATGAGCCAGTTTGATATGGATCGGTTATGTGATGAGCACCTGAGAGCTAAGCGCGCCCGGGTTGAGAATATAATTCGGGGTATGAGCCATTCCCCAAGTGTGGCATTAAGGGGCAATGAAAATGAAAGAGAGATGGCTCCACAGTCTGTAAGTCCCCGAGAAAGCTACAGAGAAAACAAACGCAAGCAAAAGCTGCCTCAACAGCAGCAACAGAGTTTCCAGCAGCTGGTTTCAGCTCGAAAAGAACAGAAGCGAGAGGAGCGCAGACAGCTGAAACAGCAGCTGGAGGACATGCAGAAACAGCTGCGCCAGCTGCAGGAAAAGTTCTACCAAATCTATGACAGCACTGATTCCGAAAATGATGAAGATGGTAACCTGTCTGAAGACAGCATGCGTTCAGAAATCATGGATGCTAGAGCAAGGGATTCTGTTGGCAGGTCAGATAATGAAATGTGTGAGTTAGACCCAGGGCAGTTCATTGATCGTGCAAGAGCCCTGATCAGGGAACAAGAAATAGCCGAAAATAAGCCGAAAAGAGAAGGTCCTAAGGAAAAAGAACACAGGCCAAACGCTTTCCATCCAGAAGGCAAACATTTGGCTGAGACCTTGAAACAGGAACTGAACACTGCCATGTCACAAGTTGTGGACACAGTGGTTAAAGTTTTCTCATCCAAGCCCTCCCGCCAGCTTCCTCAGGTCTTTCCACCTCTTCAAATCCCTCAAGCAAGATTTGCAGTTAATGGGGAAAACCACAACTTCCATACCACAAACCAGCGCCTGCAGTGCTTCGGTGATGTCATCATTCCAAACCCACTAGATACATTCAGCAATGTGCAGATGCCTAATTCCACAGACCAAACAGAAGCACTGCCCCTTGTAGTTCGCAAAAACTCATCTGACCAATCTGCATCAGCCCCACCGCCTGGTGGCCATCACGCTTCTCTGCATCAGTCTCCACTCTCAGCTACCACGGGCTTCACCACATCTTCTTTCCGCCATCCCTTTCCGCTTCCCCTCATGGCATACCCATTTCAGAATCCCTTAGGTGCTCCATCTGCCTCCTTTCCAGGGAAAGATAGAGCCTCCCCAGAATCCTTAGACTTAACTAGGGAGACCACGAGTCTGAGGACCAAGATGTCGTCGCACCATATGAATCACCATCCTTGTTCACCAGCACACCCTCCCAGCACAGCTGAAGGTCTCTCTTTGTCTCTCATAAAGTCTGAGTGTGGTGACCTACAAGATATGTCTGAAATCTCACCTTACTCGGGAAGTGCAATATCCTTTTCTAAAAAAAATATAATCGGTTGCAATACCAGGCCCAATCTGTGTAAGTTTGCTTTCCTCTTTTGTTGGGTAACTTAAGACAAACTTCACTGCATACATAATTGTATGCAATGCTTTCATACAGAGTATTTCTGGTAATAGGACATTCTAAGATGGAGGAGCCGAGGACTTGTAAGAGTAGTGATTAAATAAAGTATCAGGTAATGAACAGCGCTGCTTCACCCAGAGTGTTCTGCTCTTTCCCTATATCACCTGCCTGGCCTATTTTCAGGGAGAACTTTAAACAGATTCCTTCTCTCCCCCCGTAAAACATTTGCTTCAATTAGGACAGAAAATAAGAGAAGCTTCAGGGCCCAGCTGTGTGGAACTTTCCCTCCTGTCGGTGAGCTCTTCCTCACCCGGCTAGTCCCAATGCAGTAAATAGCATGCTTGCGTGAGTAAGTGCTCACAAAGGTAAGGGCTCCACAACTGGGCCCTTTATTATGGGGGAAAATGGGACGTCTTATCCAGCAGTGTCTCCCTGCTGAAAACACTTAACCTTCCAAACGATTTTTTTCTCCCTCTTAAAGCCAAAGTAAGCCCGACCCATTTTAACAGTGTCGTTCCCGACTCTCAGAAAGAACAAACAGTTGGTTGGTTGTAAATCTTCAGTTCGGATCTCAAGTGAGTAAACAAACAAAACACAAAAGATACAGGTACTGATGTATTCAAGCTGCATCAACTTCTTTCCCCCACCCAGAGGTCTGTTCCTCAGCCCTTGTGCAGCTGCCTGCTATGCATGATTAACCTCTGTTCAGCCGTACACAGAAATCTTTTGTCCTAACATACACAAAGCAAATTATTTTGGAAAGCTAGAGAGCACAGTTAGATATAAAACTTCAGCTGTATTACATTTACAGGACATTCCCCTCCCCCCCCCTTTTTTTTTTTTTGGTTTAAATAACTTTTTAGCTCCGGATCAGGCTTTTGAAAAATACAGCTCTGCTTATATTTAGGCATATCCAGCTATTTCCATATTAATTTTCTGTAAACTAGTCCTTTTGGGAATTTTTTTGGAGCAATTACACTCCTTCCCCTCTCTTCCTCCTCCCCGTTCCCCTAATGTGTGTTCTGGTATGGTCAGAAGATTTTCTTTATTTTTTTAAATGACTAAATGTGGATAAAATGTGATATTTGCCCAATGCTAAATTGAGGACTTTCAATGAAGGATACAATTATATTTTATACCTATGATAAGACCTCTCCAGAAGGCAATCACACAAGTATAGAGTCTTAGCTATAGTTAATTTCCTTTCCAAGTTGATGAAGGCAATCATAACTGAATGACCATATCCATCCTTGAGTAATAATAGTGCTATTGATGAAGTTGTCCTTTTTCCAATAATAGCAGTGGAGGCAGATGCCAGGTATATGCTTGTATTATCAATAAGTATCTTTTTGTGGTTAATAATTTTGACGGATGAAATTAATTGTAAATACCCTTTTTTTTTTTAAGGGCAAGAGTGCCTCCGCAAATTAATTGAGGGATCCTGCAAACTCTTATTCATGTGAGTAGTCCTCACTTATATGAATTGTCCAATTTGACTTAAAAGGACTACTGACATGAGTCAGGGTGTGTTGGTTCAGGCCCAAAGAACCCTTCACCTGTAGGTCACTGGTTCAAAACCAGCCTGGATTGGTGTTATCAAAAGTTTTTGCCATCTAATGACTATTTGCTGGCCTACGTGAAATGTGTTGCTGATCTCAGTCCAGGTCCTAGAAGGCAAGTGTTCACATTTTGAAAGCACCACAAATGGAAACTATGTTGGCAGTCATAGGGTATGTCTACACTGGAATACAAGACCTGCGACACAGCCGCAGCTGGCCCAGGCTGGGCTGCAGGTGTAGACATCTGGGCTTGGGCTGGAGCCTGGGCTCTGGGACTCTCCTCGCCCCATGGGCCCCCAGAGCTTGAGCTTAAGCCTGAATGTGTGCATTGCAATTTTACAGCCCTGCAGACGGAGCCACATGAGCCCAAGTCAGCTGACCGAGGCCTGCCACGGGTGTTTAAATGCTGCGTAGACAAACCTTTAAAGACCAAATCATGAATGGGAATGGAGACTGAAGTAGCCTCTCATCTCACAGAGGTGATCTCTTCAAGTTGGGGTTCATACCCATTGTTGGGGGTGTGAGGGAAACATGCACTGTCATTGTCCATTCAGTATCCTCTGTGTGAATTAAAAATGGATTTCAGTGTAAAGCTAGCATCTTCCATAAACACTAAAAATTACTAATTCAGATTATAAAATCCCCTCTTCCTCCAAATTCTACCTTCTGATGCACTCAGAGCAGCTTATATTGAAGTCAACAGGAGCCCCAGTTGTGTAGCTGAGGCCAAAATTCGGTAAATGCCGACTAACAATGTGGTGGCATATTACTTTGTTTTCAGTAAAAGTAGCTTTCTTTTCCTCCTGGAAAAAAGAATGAAAAATCTTTCACTTCTTCAAAGGGGGACTGAAAAGGAAAAACCATTCTGTGTTTATAAGCTGTTAGTCTTTCCTTTGGCTATAACTCTGTATGACCCACTCTGTTTATTATTCTAGTGCAAGTCAGTATTTTTGGAACTTGTGCTGTTTCTGTTGTCCTGTTTGGTTTCTGTCTTCCCCTCTTTCTGCTACAGTGTTCACCCCCTCCCCCCATTATATTCCTCTCTCTCACTGGCAGCCATTATCACAGCATGTTACTTCTGATGGAGAAGGTGTGCAGGCAACCTCCTCTAGAGCCAGTGCCACTCTGAAGGTTAGTCAGTGGGGAAACTGAGTATTAATGTGGGTGCCGCTTTCCCTTCTCCCCACGCACCTTATTCCCTTGACACTCTGACTCTCCCAGTTAGTCACTATTGCAGCCTGGACACAAATATATTTGAAAAGCTTCTAGATTCTCAAATACCCGTTATACAGAAGTGTGCACACCGGTATACAACTCTATTGTGGTGATATTTTTCTAGCAACTGCCCATTTGTCCATGCAGCCTATAGTTTATTCTAGGCGAAGGCATATGGGAGAGAGTATGGCGGTTTGTTTGTATTACACTTTGTTTTGGCCCCTTTATTTCACATGGTTCAATGTGCATATATAAAGAATACGTTTCTTAAGAGAGGCAGTTCTTCCTTCACAACAGAAAGCAACATCTGTTTCTCTGGACAATACAGCCAGGATAAGAACACAAGATCAGCAGATACAGACAAGTTCAGGTTTTAGTAGTAGGCTGAAACCCTGAACCAGTCCCTCTTATTGTTTTTTTTTTTTAAACCTACATTTGTAAAATGCACCTGATCGTTACCAGCCTTGTTGAATTGTGCAAGGAAATGGTTAATGTTTGTGTATTCTGCTAAACAAGATAAGATGCACCTGCACGGTGAGTTCATATCTTGGTCATGAATGTATTCTGTATCTTTGCAAACTAATCTGTTTAATCAAATATTAAGTTTTATTCAAATGCTAAAAGAAACAGACAGCCAATTATTTTTCTGCATGATCATCCTTGTCATGCACCCTCTTTGCATCTCAAGAAAAATAGCCTTGTTCAGCCCCAAAACATTTGCATATGTCAAACTGAAGCACAACAGTAGGTTTTTTTGTGCCGTTAAGACATCTGCACAGGTGAAGATGTTCAGCATTTTCTCCACCGAAGGAAGATTTTAATAATGTTAGTGAAGCTTTTTTAAAATCCTTAATTTTTAAATAGAATTCCAATCCAACCGGGGCAAGTTTCTCAGTCCAATATGTGAAAGCTACAATTAGTGAATTACCACATTTTGAAATGAGGAGTTACTATATCTGACTAGAATTAAACTAATTAAACTTTAAAAAAGTAAGCAATTGTATAGCAAGCTGGATGACTCTGTGCTGTTGATAAAACCTGGGAAATGCCAGTATACTTTCAGACCAGCTTCTTTTTTCAAGGTTCTTTAAGACGTGCAGAAATATTCCTAGCAATTTAGAGGTATGCTGAAAAAAGCAACCATTGTGTAATTTAAGCAGCAACTTGGCCTTACAACTACAGATATTTTACCTGAAGTGGCAGATTCCTGCTCCTTTCTCCTCATCCAATACCAATATATGGTACAAAAGCCTAATAGAACATTTTCAGGAATTTGAAGCGAAGGTGAGAGGAACAGAAGATTATCGTCACATAAAAATATTTTAGTAGAAGAGGGTAGTTACTCAAGTGGATTAAGCCCATTTGCTTTTTGGCACAAATCAGGTGCAAGAGTCTACTTGTAGTGTAAGTTAAAACACACAGCGAGTGTACATACGTTTCCTTCCCTCACCCCCACTTCCTATTTCTTACATTTGCCTTTTGGCTGCTGCTGTTGTTTTAGGTAAGGCTATATTGCACATTGTAAATACACAACACTCAGACTCAGGTTGTTTGAACACTGCTTTAGGCTCAGCTGCAGTGCACTGTTTCTCTGATCTTTTATGTTCCTGAGCAGATGTCTTTCATTAATTTATGGATTTATCATTTCTTTCTTTCTTTCTTTCTTTTTTTTTACACCTGGCAGCTGGCTCAAGTTTCAGCAGTTATTGTCTATTTTGCATTACACATAGAATTGAATGTCATCTGTCTTCACAAAGCTATGGCTAAGAGAATTGAGGCAAGCCACATGAGCTGCTGGGACAGAGCTTGTTTGCGTTCCATTCGGCACCCTCCCCCCCTTTCCTTTTACCTCCTTAATATTTATTTGTGCTCATTTTCTTTCCTGGCCTTGAATGGGGCTTAGCTCGTGTTCAGTACAGCTGTATGTTTACTGAATCTATTCCATCATGAGTCATTGTGCGTGTGTAAGTATCCTGGAAACAGCTAGTGCTTTCTTGGAAGAACAGTTGCTTTTCAGCACAAGCACTTAAAAGGGAAATTAACCAATTGGTCAGTTCAGTTTTACACTGAAATAGCAATGGGTTATCTAAGAGTTGGCTCTTAAGTGCTTCATTAACTATTTTTAATAGTTTATTAGCGATCTATCTGGCATCACAATATAACCTTAATCTTAGGCACAAGACATAAAGATTTACAGTGTGCTAGATTTCACTTTAAGAATCCCAAGTGCTTAACAGGAAAGCATAATTCTAATTTAAAAAGTGGACTTCTGGGGATTTGAGGTTTAGGACATCTTTCAATATGTGTTTTATTCAATATCAATAGCCTTTAGCATTATTACAGAAAAATAAGGAAAAATCATAAATACAAAGTGAATCAAAATACTTAAACAATTGTTTAATATGCTTAAATCCAGTGAATACTGAAGCTTGGGGAGAGTTTAAGTTCATATCTTAGCTTCCATCGAAATGGACCAAATGCCAAACATGATATCAAGATATTATCTGCTTCAGGGGAATTATAAATTAAGGAGACTTAGGATTTTTCTTTACTTATTGAAGCGTTGGTTGGTTGGTCCCCGTCCTCCCGTGGAATCGTATAACTAAATGGATTTCTGGTGTAGAAGTTCTGACTTGTCTAAAACTCTTATCACTAAGCAATAGGTGACAGCTTGCTACCATTATTTCACTTATGCGTTTTGACAGATGGCACTGCAGAATGTAATGCTCTTTTAGACTTCTCTATCAGTCTAATGGAGGTAACTGGAGGTTCTTTCAACTCTTCTCTTGGCACAAGAAGTATGTCAGTCATAAATTATCTTCTTTGGAATCATTAAGCATCTAAAACAAAACACAAGTTCGGTTGAGCTGTTTTCAGTGCACTTTTTGTAAATGAAGAGGTTTTTAAACTATTTTCAGTGGCTATTTTAAAAAAATGTGATATTTTCAGTCTAAAAATGAGCCTTCTCTTTCTACAACTGCATCTGCATGTATGAATAATACATGAATAAATAACCATATTTTGACTCAATTCAGTAGATCGAGAAAAGATATTCGGTTAACAGAACAATCCTAAATAGTCTGTTGCCTGTCGGCATACATTTCTTTGAACTTCCCAGGTTGCAAGCTGGAGCTATTCATTTTGTTCTCCTGTGTTACCGGCTCTGTAAGGTGAAGGCACCTCCGCTGCAGAATAGCTGTGAACTTGTTTGACCTTTCTCCACCATAAGGTGTGAAATAGTGAAATTTTCATTGAATGTCTTTAGGAAAAACAGTCCTCAGAGAAGCTTCTGGGAAGGACCCTCAATTGACCTTGTGGAGACCACATTGATTTTCTCCACGTGCATCTTCATTTCTGATAAATTATAAAGCCATTAATTTGCTGAGGAAATGGCAGGGCCAGCCTGCGGCACAGATGTGACCAAAGCCATCCTAGCACACAGCACACAAGAGTGCCAAGAAGCTGGGGGAAAATCAGAAAGCCTAGATTGTTATGGTTAGATTCACATTCCCTTGGGAACTGTTTTAGTTGCTTCTGTTTACAGATCTAAAAGGTAATGATGTTTCCAGGATAAATAGGCCTCCTTATAGGGTAAGTGGCCATTTATTGATCTGCTAACCCACACTTATTGATTAGTTAGCCCCAAATACAGTTTCATTCTCCGAGGAGTTAACTGTGTAAATCAGAACCAGACAATATTTTTTTAACTACAGAAGGTTGTGGGGGTTTTTTAAGAAATTTAGCTTTCATTAGAAAGCCAGTAATTGAGGCAAAGGAATAATAGGATTAGAGAGAGTAACTCAAGATACTGAATTATATTGGCATTAAAAAAAAAAGGTAAAATATGTTATTGCATGAAACATTGCTCAGAATCATAAAGCACCTCTGATTGTTTCATGTGCATTAGCATTATATGATATAAACTGCTCAGTGCTGAGAGAAAAATAAACTGAATTGGAATTGCAAACGAAAGAAAAATCTTGTGATAAGTTTTTTTGCAGCACATGCTTCATGCATTTGTTTCCTTAGCAACAAGTGAACATACATATGGTACACAAACCTTAAACCTGAAAAATTCCTGCCACCAACACCAAGAATGAACTGAGAGACAATATATGTTATGTATCCTCACATATCTTATGTAGTTGTTTTGCAGATAATTACAGTTCTAAAGAGCTGCAAATTGAATGTTAACAATTTGTCACTCGGTCCTTACAGAACATTTCTCGAAGGAGCACTTTGCTAGCCGTGTATATTCAGAACCAGCTTTTATTCTCAAGCAAAGCATTTTCCTTGACTAATTCAATCCTACATGCAGGAAGGTCTGTCACCCAATCACTTGAAAAAGGCTAAGCTCATGTTCTTTTACACCCGGTACCCAAGTTCCAATATGCTGAAAACCTACTTCTCAGATGTAAAGGTAGGAAAAAAACTTTTTCCCCCCTCCTTATTGCATGTTTGCATTTTTGTGGTGAAAATGTATCACTTTAACACATTAAAGGTAAATGACTATTAATTCTAATTTCACTACTAGAGATTACAGTTCATTGTTATTCACTTGACTTTTTCTACTAAGGTGTGCTTGGGGTCCGTGTCTGAAGGGAAAGGGCTTGGGGGTTTTTTTAATCAAGAGAGAGTCTGAAGTTTCAACGCAAAATAAGAATATTTAATACAGTTGGATGACACAGTTTTACATGTGTGTATCCTCTGAAAAAGAAATTTCTGCTGGTGGCATAAATGTACTTCCAAGAACATTTTTGGAGCAGTTCTCAAGTGCTCCCTAATTGTTTCATTTTGGTCGGTTTCCTCATATTTGTGCTTACATAAGCACACTGTAGAATCCCTTTCTTTCTGTCAAAAAGAAACAGTACATTGAAATTCTCCATGCAGCAACTGCTTAAAAACAAAAGTGATGATTGTCTCTTATTTACAACTTAATTTGTTGTTGATGCAGAGTACACTGAGCATAAGGAGGATGAATAAAGTGACAGATTCAGGCCACATTATTCAAATGAGGATATGAAAGCTGTCGACGTACAGCTGCATCCTCCCTCATTCTACAGAATATTAGGACCTCCTGATTTTTTTCCCTAAAAGTAATTGTTCCTTCACATCAACTTGATTTTGTGTTAATCATCTAAGTTTTTTTTTAATATAGATTGGGTTTTAATGATTATAATGGCACACATGGTGTTATTATCTAAGTAACTTTATAAACATTACATTAGCTTAAATTAGTTTGTTACATTCCCCCCCTTAACAATTTACACAAGTCCTTATTTTAACTATCTGCATGTTTATGGGGTTTTTTCGATCTTATTGGAAAATTGGCTCCCAAGTTTGTGACTTGGCCCAGTTTTAAGAATGAATGAGTAAGGCAATTCTCTTCACTTTATTTTGACTTTATTGAAGGGTTCTTTCCCCCTCCCCATTCCTGTTAGCTTTTATCTAATGTCACATCAAGTTGAACATCTTGGTGGGTTCCTCTGCCTCCCCCCTACCCCTTCTGTGCTCTCAGAGTTGAAAACACGTTTCTTCTCATTCAGAGCCATGCTTTGGGCGGATGGCAACAGCATAAAAAAAGCAATGCAGGCACTTACTAGCCTAAATGGCTGGTCAAGAATCATTAAACACAAAAAAAGGCTGTGAATCACACAGCGGGCCAAGTGAAGGGTTTGCTCTGAGAGTGGTTCCACCTGGTATGGAAAAATCTGAGGGAGCATTTCAAATGACTCGGCACCAATGAGCCACTGGAACCAGATGCAGCGTTGGCCAGAGTACTGCTTAAGGGAATCCTGTAATGGTGCTATAACAAGTCTTCTCCAGTAGATATTAATATAGCCAGTAATACAAAGGGTCTTTTTATTATATTTCTTTTCATAAAGGAAGTATGTATTTGTGTTTGCATGTGGTGACCAATATCAATCTTCTTACAATGTCGCAATAATATGTAGTGTTTTGATATTATACCACCTTATATTTATATAGCACCATTCATCCAGAAGAAGCCCAAAGTGCTTTACAAACTGCCTATATAGGGATCACTCACCCACCACTGAAATGCAGCCACCTCCGTGGTGGAACGCGACAGCCATTCTGGGTCAGCAACACCACACAACAGTAGATGTAAATATTAGATATGTTCATCTTTTCTTGGGTATTCCGTATCTTTGTCAATACTTTGAAATGTTTATTACATGTAACATTTCATGGGCCAAATTAGGCTCCCATTTTGCCCAGGTCTAGTCCTACTGACTCCAATAGGGGCTACTCCCCCCATTGTGAGGTAAAGGGGCAGAATTTGGCTCATATACAGGGCCAGATTATGCCAGTGATTTTTAAGCAGAAGGCTTCACTAACAGCGATGGGGACTTCTGCTTAAAAACCAATGGCAAGATCTAGCCCTCAGTTTTTAAAAAATATATATTTTTTGAATAAGGTGTTTCCATATGCTTTATTGACTAACCCCTATTAGACCCATTAGGATCTAAGGCATGTGGCTGTTAATTTAAATAAAAAAATTGTGTACAAAATATTGTATCTCAAACAAACTTAAGTTAATTTCATTAGCAATTGGTTAAAAAAAAACTGAACAGACACACAACCCATGTTGTGATTTAATCCATGATTTTAAATAAGGGTGTCGTAGTAAAGCTTGGCAACAATTTGAATATTAAGGGCAGCTCCTCAGGTAGTGTAGATCAGCATCATTCTGTTGAAGCCAATGGAGCTATGCCAGTTTATACCAAGTAAAGCTCAGGCCCTTAGTCTTCAGAAAAGACCAAAGCCAATGAATGGGGGGGGGGTTTGTTTTTGTTCTTTGGATTTTTTTTTTTTTAACAAACCTTGTGGGATTTGGAGAGCCTTGGAATGCCTTAAATTTCTAGATAAGAACCACATCTTGACAAGTTACTTTTTGTTTAAAAAAAGTTTATGCTTTTAATCCATGTGGAGGAAGTGGCAGGTGAAGGACAATTTACACAGAGTAAAGTAGATTTAATATGATGAAAAAACTCTTCTTGGTGACTCTGTACATAACAGTAGAGGAACACATCTAATTTACTATATTTCTGCTAGATATGAAAATAAATAAAAGAAGGACTCAATTCAGTATTCTGGGGGAAAATTTCTTGTACTGGACGGGTCCCTAGATAAACCTTTTTTTCTTCTTGCTGTGAGTTTAGTTCAGCTTACTTTGGGAAGTGAATTGTGCTGAATAAGATGCAAACATAACTTGTCACTGACTTTTAAAGTCTTATGAGAACACAAGTTGGAAAAATATGAAAAAAGTGCCTGGTATAGATGTCCCCGTATGATCTTCATTCGCATCACTTGGTGCAGATTTTAATGTATAAACTAATAATTCTTAGACTACTAAATACAACAGATTCAGTGTCATTTTAGCTTTGAAGAACAGACGCTTACAGGCTTTTCAACACAGCAGTGTTAAATGATGTATCTCATTCCCTCCACCCCTTGAGTCAACTGCTGCCTAGCCAGATTAAGGTGTCAGATTGATTTGTTTTATACATCTTTTGACCATGCTCATTGAATATTTAGGAAGTTTCTTCAGCCCATATTGAGGTTGAGGTATCCCGTGGGAAGCATTAATCAAAGTCACAGAGACTCTTACACTGTGGAAACACAGACTCTTTATTGTAGCGATTAGTTTTTGCAGTAACACATTAACACACTACAGAGCTTTTTCTTTATAGAACAATTGATCCTTTTCTTGTACTCCACTACAGAAGGAAAAAAATAATTAACTCTTTAAAGTTTAACAATATTTTCTTACATCAGAATGCAGAGGGAGGGCATTTTTGTTCTTCACGTGCCTATAAAACAATACAACATTTCAAAGGTTCGATATTATTTAGGAAAACCAATATTGTTCTTCAAGCTGTTATGTTTGTTGTTTAGCTTGTCTCATGCTTGGGGAGTCTGTTGTTTTTGTCCATTTTCTCTCTCTGGTATTTCCATTCTGCAACAATA